GGTGGAGGGGGAGAGAGTAACCAAAGAATTTATATGCATATATGCACAATCCAAGGACATGGACAATGGTGGGGAGAGGGACTGGGGAGGGGGAAGGAACCGGGTGGAACGGGTCACTGGGGAGAAAAAGGGACATCTGTAATATTTTAAACAATAAAAAAACTTAAAAAAATAATAAATTAATAAATAAAAATAAACTCAAAATGGATTAAACCCTTAAATGTCAGACATGAAACCATAAAAGTCCTAGAAGAAAAGAGGCAGTAAACTCTTTGACATCAGTTTTAACAATATCTTTTTGGATATGTCTCCTCAGGCAAGGGCAACAACAAAAATAAATGGGACTACATCAAACTAAAGAGTTTTTGCACAGCAAAGGGAACCATCAACAACACAAAAAGACAACACACAGAATGGGAGAAAATATTTGTAAATGATACATCCAATAAGGCGTGAATATCATATATATACATACATACATACATACATACATACATATATATATATATATATATATATATATGGAACGCATACAACTTAACACCAAAAAAACAATCCAATTAAGAAATGTGCAGGGGACCTGAATAGACATTTCTTCGAAAAGGACATACATCCTGAAACACCAATCAGATAGAATATATGCACCCTTGTGTTCACAGAAGCTTTATTTACAATAGCTAAGATCTGGAAACAGCCCAAGTGCTCATCAGTAGATGAGTGGATAAAAAAGCTGTTGTACATTTACACAATGGAATGCTATGCAGCTATAAAAAATGAAGGATCTCTTACCCTTTGAGACAGCATGGAGGGAACTGGAGAGTATTATGCTACATGAAATAAGCCAGTCAGAGAAAGACAAGTGCCACATGATCTCACCCATATGTGGAATCTAATGAACAAAATAAACTGACAAACAAAATAGGTCCAAAGACATGGAAGCATGGAACAGACTGACAGATCTCAGGGGTCAGGGGGGCAGGAAGAGGTTAACCAAAGAACTTATATGCATGTATGCATAGCCCATGGGCACGGACAATAGTGAGGTGAAGACTTGGGGTGGGGCAGAAGCTGGATGAAAGGGGACAAAGGGGGGAGGAAAACGGGGGACATCTGTAATACTCTCAATAATAAAAATAAATTTTATAAAAAGACATGGCCAACAGACATGAAAAAAATGCTCAACATCACTAATCATCAGGGAAATGCAAATCAAAACCACAATGAGATACCACCTCACTCTTGTCAGAATGACTATCATCAAAAAGTCAACAAATAACAAGTACTGGTGAGGCTGTGGAGAAAAGGGAACCCTCACACACTCTTGGTGGGATTGTAAATTGGTACAGCCAACATGGAACACAGTATGGAGGTTCCACAAAAAATTAAAAATGAACACCTTATGACCACATCTGGGTAATTATCTGAAGAAAACAAAAACACAAATTTGAAAAGATATATGCACCTGTATGTTCACTGTAGCATTACTTATAATAGCCAAGATATGGAAGCAACCTAGGTGTTAATCGATAGATGAACAGATAAAGAAGGTGTGGTGCATATATACAGTTGAATATTATTCAGCAATAAAAGAGAATGAAATATTGACATTTGTGACAACATGGATGGACCTAGAGGGTATTACCCTAAGTGAAATAAGTCAGACAGAGAAAGATAAATACTGTATGATCTCATTTATTTGTTGAATCTAAAAAAACAAAACACATGAATAAACAAAACAGAATACAGACCACAGCTATAAAGACCAAGCTGATGGTTGCCAAAGCGGAAGAGAGGTAGGGGTCTGGATAAAATTAAGAAAAAAGAGCCCAGCCCAGCCGGCTGGCTCAGCTGTTAAGCATTGACCTACGATTCAGGAGATAGAGGTTCGATTCTGTCAGGGCACATGCCTGGGTTGCGGGCTCATCCCCAGCAGGGGGCGTGCAGGAGGCTGCTGATCAATGACTCTCTCATCGTTAATGTTCCTATCTCTTCCCCTCTCCTTTCCTCTCTCTGAAATCAATAAAAACATATTTAAAAAGAAAAAGAAATACCCCCAAAACAAGAAAAAAATAGGAAATAAAAGTGAAGTCACTATAGTCAAGCTGCTAAACTACCAAAATCAAGTAGGTTGAGACATGAGGAAACAATTCTTCTTTTAACTCTGTGAACTTGACCTTTTGAATTTTCCAATTCTGTGTCACTGCCTGGATATACATCAGTTTCTTGTGTATCAATGCCTGGACACATACCAGACCCCCAAATACACCTCTTATTACCCCCTAAAGGACTCAGCCGGATCACCGAACCTGACCAGACCACCTGCCGCTGACGCCCATCCTCTAGACTACCTGGTGCTCATCATCCGGACCATCTGACAAATAACTGTTTTGGACCAATCTTATCAAGTCTTTGACTCCAGGATCCCACTGGCCCTCGCCTGACCTGCTCCACATCAGCAGGTCTTTACTTCTGACTCCAGGGTTCTCCTAAGCCAGACACCAAGCCTTTATCCCAGAGACTGTAATGCTCAAGACCGTTACCCAGAACACCAACTCTTTACCACAGAAACCAGAGCCCTGGCCTGGTGACCCTGACTTTACTCCAAACACCAGACCTCTCAAGATTCAGCGATTCGAATTTCTCTTCTCTCCCGCTCCCCGCGCCCTCCCATTTCCGCCCCAGCCCGGGACGCCAGGCCCTTAACCTTCAGGGCAGTCCTTTACTCAGCCCACCTGGGCTCCGGCAACAGACGTTTACTCCTGGCCAGCCTGGTCCGGACATTACCACAAGGCCTCTAGCCCGTTAGGTTCCTCCCGCCCTCGGGACGACACAGCTTTTGGCCTAGATCCCCAGAGAGTCAGGCCCCAACCCCCTGAAGCATCCAGGCTCTATGTCCCTACGCGGACCAGCCCCGGTTCCGCAGCAGACTCACAAAGACAAGGTCCGGCCTCTCCTGCCGCGAGAGTCGCGCCATTACCACCATTTTCCCAGCTCTCCAGCTACAGGCAGAAGTCGTGTTATAATGACGTTACCATCTGAAGGCCCGCCCCCGAGCCAGACTCATTTCTTATTGGCTGACCACTTTCCGAGTGTGCAATCAGAATCTCGACTTTCCCTTAGACTTACCCAGCGACCTGGAGTAGTGAGTAGGCGCCCGAAGATGATGTCATGCGGCGCTCCTCGGCCAATCAGCTTCAGCGGTCGAGCCCTTGATTTCCTACTGAGCTGCTGCTGTCTTGGAGGGTTGGCTTTGGACGCCAGCGGCTTCGTAGCCTCAGGGCACCGAAATGGGGGTGAAGTTGGAGGTGTTTCGGGTCAGTGGGCTCCTGAGCAGGTGGGCGGGGCGCCTTCCTGGATCTGAGGAGGAGGCTCTGAAAAGACGGGATTCCAAGAGAGGGCGCTCTGGGGAGAAAGATCCTGAGATTTGAGAAGGCCTTTAGGGTTGGAAACCAAAGAAGGGGGCGCTGGATTAGGGTGGCTCTAGTAGGGCTGGTGTGAGGAAGGGTCTCTGAGAGGAGTGAGCAGAGGAGGGGCCTCTAGAAGGAAGACTCCAGACTCTGGGGAAGCTCTTGGGTTCAGGATGGGTGGGTGTGTGTCTCGTAGGGAGACTCCTAGGCTAGGGGAGTAGACTGAAGAATGAGGGATTTGGAATGCTCTGGGGATATGATTTTGGAGGCCGGGGCAATGAGGTAGGAGCTCCTGTGCTTCTGGGGCCAGGGTGTGTGTGTATGTGTGTTGTCCTTTGCGAGGGAGTCTCCCAGACTCTGAGGGAGCTTTCAGACATAAGGTCTCTTGGATTATGGCGGCCAGACTCCCATAATCCTGGGGTTCTTGGGGGGCCCCGAGGAGGCTTTGCTGGGCTGTGCTAGAGGATGGCCCTCCAGGCTCTGAGCAACCTCTGCTCATCGCCCTCTCCCTCCCCTCCTTCCAGATGACACTCTACCTCACCTTCCCTGTGGCTATGTTCTGGATTGCCAACCAGGCCGAGTGGTTTGAGGACTACGTGGTACAGCGAAAGGTGGGCACTGGGAGAATGTCCGTGGGTTCATTGCTGAGGGAGGGGGAGGGCATGGGGCACTAATGTCTGCCTTCCATGAGCTGACTTGTCCTAAGTGTGGGGCTCTGGAGACTCCTGGCTCATCTGTCACTTTATCCCCACAGAGGGAGCTGTGGCCACCTGAAAAGGAGGACCAGGTAAGTCGCATACTCTTCCTCCCACCAGATGGACAGGGGGGCTTGGGGCTTGTGACCATGATGGGTTCAAATGAAAATGTTATCCTCAGTTGTGAGCAGGGAACTAAAAGCAGATGGGCACATGGTTTCCTTATTGTCCTCTCCCCAAACGATGAAGCTGATCCCACTTGGATCCTGCTTAGAATTGGCACAGGGCTTCCAGTATAGACACTGAACTCTAAAGCCGTGGCCTGGGGGAGTGGAGGCAGGGTGGTGGGAGAGGGCTCCAGACTCTGAGGTATGTCCCACCTCTCCCCCACCATTAGCGCCGAGAGCTAGAAGAATTCAAAGCGAGGATACGGAAGCAGCGAGAGGAAAAGCTCCTTCGCGCTGCCCAGCAGAGCTCCTGAGCCCCCCAAGTGCCTGCGTCCCACCTATGAAACAACAGACACTTAGTTCTTTGTTTCTCATGGAAGTGTTTTATTGTCTGCTTTCGGGGGGCACAAGTGGGGCGCAAGATGGCTCAGGCCCTCATGGGGCTTGTGTCTGGGGCTGGGGGCTGCTGTTCCGACGGAAGCTGAGAGCAGACGGGTCCTGAGGGGTGAGGAGGGGTTGAGGGCTGAGGGTCCCGGCTCGTTTCTGCACTCCGTCCTGTGGATGAAGAGGAGTCAACCAGAGGGAGGGACCAAGGGCAGCGTCTGGCGGAGGTGACACAAACATTGGAAGAAGGGTGCAGGTGGGAACTGTTGTTCTACCTCCCACCATCTGCCCCCACCATCCTAGAACTTCTACGTACCTTAGTTACTCAACACTTAGGGTGGTGTGTGGGTGTGAGGTAGGGGGTCTTGGGGATCCCACTGGGGTCTTGATCAGAACCCAAGCTGTTCATGATTACAAGCAACATAGATACATCTGAGTGTATGATGTCATGTGTCCTCCCTGAGAATGTCTTCTCAGGAGGGGTTTTTTTTCTCAACCCTTCCTGAAGCCCTCAGTCATGGCAATAGGAGCCATGAGTTCCAGCCATGTCTCTGATGCAAATGTGCCCTCTGCATGACCTTGCGGCCCTCTTGCCTTGTCTGGGCCTTCATTCTCTGGTCTAAAGTCGAGTATTAGATTGGCCAGGGGCCTTGTGACTGGTAGGGACACAGGACAGGCACTCCAACAGGCACTCATCCCCAGGGGGCACATGATGGACAGGTGAGGGTGGGAGGCAAGACTAGGGGCCTCAAGATGGCTGGTCTCAGCCCCGGCAGAGCATCACCTACCTTGGGGCCCACAGGCTGGAAGCCAGGCAGGGCGCTGACTGTCACACGCTGGTCATCCATGCGGCGACCCTGGGTGCTGGCCAACATGTCTATGAGATTGTCCATCTCTGGCGTGGGGCCACTCTCTGCATGGAGCAGACGCAGGTGAGGATGAGCACATACATGGATTCCAGGGGACATGGCGCAGCTGGAGCCCCCAGCACACCCCTTCCCCCCCACTCGTTCTCCAGGAAGCATGCTCATCTCGCCTGCCATCCCTTGCCCCTAGACCCACAAGCATCTGTGTCTTTAGTTGCCTGTTCACTCTATCAGACAGACTCTTGCCTGCAGGGTCCCCAGATGGTCACTCATCCTGTACCCCTATGCCCTAACCCATTTACACCCCCAGACAGCACACCCACCCTACACACCCCACTGCCCACTCTCACGGCTCTTGGAGTTGGTGCCTGGCCCTGCCTGCAGCGAGCAGCGCTGCTCCTCCATTCGGCCGCTCTGCACATGGCTCAGCAGGTTGAAGAAGCCCTCTTCGTCTGGGGAGCCCGCCTGAGAGACAGACATACCTGGTCCAGCTGGCCCCTCAGTTGGGGGACCCTTCACTAGCTCCCACCCTGATCCCAAGGTCTGCTCTCCCCTCCTTGGCTCTCACCATAGTCCACGCTGATGCGCTGCTCTGCAGAGCTGCTGTGAATGAGACAAGAGTCTCCTTCCCAATCCCAGCCCCCAGGGTCCGGCCATCAGTAGCACTGCACGTGGTGCTGCCTCAAGGGAGAGGCTGTCTGTCGTCCTAGATTAGGGCCTTACTACAGGATGCCAGGCAGGAAAACATCCCAGGGGCTGCCTGCAAATCCCAGCATCCCCCCCCCCC